GACAAACTCATACTTTGGAATATTGTATTATTTATTACAATTGTACTGCATTTATGTTGAACTGAGGTGTGTAAGATGTTGGCAAAATGCAACATTTTAGCCAGTTTAATTTATTTTTTTTTACCATTAGTTTAAAGCAAACAAGAATAATCTGTTCCTGAGTGACAGCAGGAGGCAAGCAGAAGTATTTAGGCTAGAGGTGTCTGAACCCATAAAACAAGGCATATCTAAAGTGTCTGAATCTTCATTTGCCAGTGTTTCCAGAGCACAAAAACTTCACTGAAGTGACTGAGATCAGAGCGTTCACTTATTTAAAAAAAAAAACAACAAAAAAAACCACCTTGCTTTACATTCCTGTTGACCCCAAATCCAGATAGCATCAAAAAGCACCAGAAAGCTCAATTTCTTCTGACAGGACAAGTGGCTTGTGGGTAGCTGGAGTAGGCTGGGCAGCCAGTAAGGGGATGGGAGGGGAGTCGAGTCCAGGCTATCATATCAACAGCTGCTGCAGAATTTAATTTCCTTTTATAGAAGGGAAACTGTGGGAACTGTTGCTCTCCACAGTCAGTGCAGCCTTTGGTTTAAAAAACTGCCCTCCCTGGGGAACAGACGCTGCGTAACATCTCAAATGCCTGCATGTTTGCTCAGGTTTCTGCTGCAGCCAAAACCAGTGTGCTTGTGTTTGCTTTATGCAGGGACCTGTGACGTCTGCCTTTTCTGTGGCTTATGGACCATGACTTGGAGTCACAGGAGATGAGAAAGCAACAGTCCCAAGAGGTTACAGGTAGAGGGCAAGGGAAATTCAATGTTAGGACCATCCAGTGGCAGAAGGAGAAGAGTGCCAGGAGCATTCCTGCTGCTCTGCATGGGGCCCATGGGGCAGAGCTCAGGCTGGGATGCCTGGCCAGGTCTGGCTCAGGTGGCCACTGAGCTCAGAAGCTGTCACAGGGTTGGGGAACAGCTTTCCCACTGATACCTGCCATTCTCAACTCGTGCTCTGAGCTGGCAACGCCCCTCAGCAGGGAGGAGTGTGCATCCTGGGCAGAGTAAATATGTGCCTCTGCTGTTCCCTCATTCCTGTGTTTAATAAAAACTAGGATAAACCAGGGCTGGCAGAAAGGAAGGAGACAGGACTTGTCTTACGGCCAGGGAAGCTCACCTTGTTAATGCAGTTAACACCTTTTCTGCAAATGCCCACCATCACAGTCCTCATTCGTACCAGCAGCTCCTCATTCTGTAGAATGAGGTTGTTGGAGGCTGGAGGTTTTTTTACACTGAAAACAGATGTCAAGGCATGGAGCCATCAGAAAAATATTGGTGGTAGTAGCAGTTTGCATGGTGTGCACAGGAAGCTATCTATAGCAACTGGGAAGTCACAGAGGGCAAGTTATCACCGCCCTGCAGGACTCATTCTGGCCACATACAGGGAGTTATATATAGAGCTGTATACAGAAATACAGAAGAGCTCTGTGCCTGTGTTGGAAAGCCTCATCAGGACTTCTCTTGAGCAGACTTCTGTCCTTGACCTCACCAGAGAACTGCATATTTCAGAGGATATTTTGGAAAGATGCTGGACAGCAAGTACCTCCCGAGGACAGCTGATCTGTAAAGTACAAATGTACAGACCAGAGTGCATGTATGCCCAATCTATCCAGGATTTCTGATTTCCTTATGAAGTATTTTTGTGCTGTTTATAGAAACCTTCCCCTGGTCCTGCCTTCCCATCTATGTACCTCACAGACTGGCTCCACAATAAACTGTCCCACCAGAGCAAAACTCGCCTTGGTATAAGAATCCACAGGTTGGGGGTTTGGGGTGGTTAAAAAATAAAAAATCTAAAGAACTGTAAGAAATAGTCCACCCAAGTGCCCAAGGCAGGATAAACTGTCCGTACACTATGCCCAACAGTTCTTAGTCTAACCTGCTGTGAAAGAGAAGCCCTGACAAAAGCTCCCCAGGCAACAGGTTTACATAGAGGATCCCTTTCCCCATTGTAGAGTCTGAATTCAAAGGAAGTTCTAATGGTAAAGTAAGCAGAATGGATGTTGAGACAAAGATGAAAATGCAATTTGGTCAAGTGAACTTATTTTAGTAAGGCTTGGCTGCAATTTAAAGAAGGTTGTTAAACAAAGACTTCTGAACAGCACAACAGCAAATAAATATAGCTTTGTGCTTAGGGAAACATTTAAATTAAACAAAGGCAGCATGCAATTTCAACAGCAGTCTTGCATATTTAGCTTTCTAGGCAGCATAAGCACCTGTCCCAAAAGCATTAATGAAGGGTGATAAACCACAGAAAATCTTGACTCATTTTCACTTCAAATTTTTGCTTTGCAGATTTCACATAAAAGGATAAGGTGGGATCCTCCCTCCCAGGGTGAGGCAGACCCTTTATCTCTGGAGCAAAGGGAACACAGGGAGAGTTCTGGATGGAAGCCCAGGCTGGATCTTGCAGAAATAGCCTCATGAAAGCCTCCATGCTCTCCCAGATTGAGCATCCAAAGTGGTTGTTTCAGTGGTGCACAGGTGTGGTGGGTTGACCTGGGCTGGGCACCAGATGTCTACAAACTGCTCTATCACTCTCCTTCCCAAGCTGGACAGGAGAGAGAAAATAAGATTGAAAAGGACTCACAGGTTCAGATAAGGCAGTTTACTAAAGCAAAAGTGAAAGTTTGCACATACATAGACAGAGAAAAAAATAGGTTTATTCTCTACTTCCCTTTGCTGGCGCGCAATGTTCCGCCACTTCTGAGGAACAAGGCTTCAGCACCTGGAGTGGTTGCTCCAGAAGGCAAACACTGTAAATAAAAAACATCCCACTTCCTCCTCCTTTCCTTAGCTTTTATAGCTGAGCTGATGTCATATGCTACAAAATATCCCGTGTGTCAGTTTGGATCAGCTGGCCTGGTTGTGTCTTCTCCCAGAACTGTGCCCAGCCCCAGCCTACTGATGGAGCAGGCAAGAATGTTGGGAAGACTGGCTGATGCTGTGCCAGCACTGCCCAGCAGCAACCAAAGCACCACTGTGTTAGCAGCACCTTTCCAGCTGCCTGTGCAAAGCACAGCACTGCGAGGGCTGCTAAGGGAAACTGAACTCAGCCAGACTCAACACAACACAGTAGCTCCTGGTCCTCGTACTAGAGATTGGTTATCATCACTGTTAGGAGTTAACATGGAAGCCACTTTCACAAGCAGGCTAAAATTGTCAAAACTCAGCTGCTACATTCATATCTCCCTCCTTGCATTTGTGAATTTAATATAAACAACTTGTATGGCAAGTTGAAAGCTCTTTCCTCAATGTTTTTAATTCTCAAAGTGACAGCAGGCAGATTAGATTGTTTTCACACAGACTTTCTCTTCCTCAATGAATTTCTCTTTTTACTGCAAGTCAGGATTATATTCTTCCTCAGAATCCTACTTGTTCTCCAGTGATAGCAGCCTGTCCAGTCCCATTCCCAAGTACAGAACCTGTATCTGCAGATAAACATTTTAAAGGATGCCAGTCTCACCTTAGTAGAAGGCAAGATCATGGAGCAAATCCTTCCAGAAATCATGGTAAGGCATATGGAAAACAAGTAGGTGATTTGTGACAGCCAGCATGGCTTCACTAAGGGCAAATACTGCCTGACAATTTTGGTGGCCTTCTAAAATGGGCTTACACTGAGGGATGTGGAAAGGACAACTGACATCAAATTTGTGGACTCATGTAAAGCCTTTGACACTGTACCACATGACATCCTTGCTCTAAACTGGAGAGGGTGAACCACTCAATGAATAAGGAATAGGCTGTACAGTCTCACTCAAAAGAGTTGTGGTCAACACCATGCAGAGACCAGTGATGAGGGGCCTTTTGCAGGGCCTGGTGTTGGGACTGGCACTGTTCCATATCCCTGAGGGCAGCAGGGACAGTGGGACTGAGTGCACCCTCAGCAAGTGTGCCAGTGACTCTGAGCTGCTTGGTGCAATCCACACACCAGAAGGAAGGAAGAGCATCCAGAGGGACCTGGACAGGCTTGAGAAGGGGGCTTGTGTGAACCTCATGGAGTTTGGTACAGCCAAACGCAAGTGCAAGGTCCTGCAGACAGGCTGGGCAACAAATGCATGGAGAGCAGCTGTCTGAGAAGGACTTGGGGATGCTGGTGGGTGAGAGGCTGGACAAGACTCAGCCACGGGCACTCACAGCCCAGAAAGCCAAACGTGCCCTGGGCTGCATCACAGCAGCGTGGGGAGCAGGGTGAGGGAGGGGATTCTGCCCCTCTGCTCTGGTGAGATCCTATTTGGAGTGCTATATCCATCTCTGGGATCCTCAACATAAGAAGAACATGGACCTTTTGGAGTGCATCCAGAGGAGGCCACGAAGATGGTCAGAGGGCTGGAACATCCCTCCTGTGAAGACAGTCTGAGAGGGAGGATGTTTGACCTGGGAAGTGGAAGGCTCTGGAAAGACCTACAGCACCTCAGCACCTTCCAGTACCTGAATAAAGTTGGAGAGGTCCTTTTTACAAGGGCGTGTAGTGACAGGACAAGGGGAAATGGATTAAAACTGAGAATGGAGGTATTAGGAACAAATCTTCACTGTGAGGGTGGTGAGGCACTGGGAAAAGGTTTATCCAGAGAAGCTGTGGATGCCCCATCCCTGGAAGTGTTCAAATCCAGGTTGGGTTTGGCTTTGAGCAACCTGATCTGGTGGGAGGTTTCCCTGACCTTCACAGGGGTGTTGGAAGAGATGATTTTTAAGGTCCCTTCCAACCCAAACCATTCTATGACTCTATGCTCTCACAATGTAGTTATCCAACAAGGCACTTTTCCAGTGCCTCAAAAATAAAGCACTAGTGTCGAGGTTTGCTGCCTTTGATGGGTTCAGCTTGAAGAAGGCTTTGGAGGCTGTCATGCTCTGTGTCATTCAGAAGACAGGCCCTCACCCAGAACATGTAACTTGGGAGAAAATCACATGACAAGAGCTACAGTTAAAAAGAAATTACAGTTTTCCCTCATTTTCTCAACATTTCATTGATTTTTATTAAACTCAGAAACTAATCAGGCAAATAGAGACCAGGAACACATAAGCTTAAAAATGGTGAACAGAAAGTGTAAATCTACAACATATTGTAACCACTTAGTGGAGTAATTTAATAAACATTTAGTATAAAGATGTTGAGACTACTTTTTCACCCAGTGTCATATGCAGTGAGGAAAGCCTGTTAAGTGGTCTTTTCTTGCAACAGCAAAAAAAGAGCTTTTCAGAATCACCACAGTATTTAATATCAAGGTAAACAGACCAATAATCTCATTCAATTGATGAATTTTGGAGATGTCTCATATTTAGTTGCAACAATAGCATCTTCTTACTTAGGGTCTCTCTGCTTCTTACACATGTCCTGACATCTCTTTGACCTCCACAGGGACACTGATAGCAAGTTTCTCCAAAATGCCAGGAGGTGGGCAGTCCATAAAAGGCTTTGACTTTGGAAATCACTGTTTCTTCCCTTCTATATTAGGCAACCCCATACTGAATGGCTCACTCAGCACAAAGTTGAAATGTATTTTTTAGGGAACACAAGTTTCTATAGAATATTGAATTTCTATACTGGCATCCATGGAGAAAGCATATTTGATGCAGCTTCTTCAGCTCCTCTCAGCTTGTCTTTTACCTTGGGCAATAGAGCACAGAGCACAGTACTCTTAATATGTGCTTCAGCATATGCATTTCAGGTATTTCTGCAATACCCAATTTTCTTGCTAGTTTTTTTCAGTGATGATGATTGTTCTGTTTAGAAAAAACAGTTCTCAGTATGAAAATTTATAAATACAAACATGCTTGGAAGCAGCCTTCCAAAATGGTGTTACCACACCTGTCAGCAGCTATGTACAAATCAAGTAGGCCTGAAAGCCCTAGTGACAATGTTTAAATCCCCAGACCTCAGATCCTGTGGAAAAGATACATTTGACTTCCTTTGTTCAGCATAACATTTTAAAGCTGTTTTTCTGGAAGAGAAACTTGGGCCACACATAGAGTTTGGGAGTGTTTCAGATAGGATAGAGGCACTCACATTTGTCAGCCTGATAGCCAAGAGATTTTACATCCTCAAGCACATGGTAAAGCCATTCGATGCATGAATTTCTTATGTAGGTTCAGTCTCAGCAATGTAAAGCTGTGGTTAACACAAAATTATTAGAGGTAGGTAATGATCACATGGTTTGCTTTTTCTAGCTACATTTAAACTTCACAGTTCACATTTAAGTTTTAGCTCTATTTTGATTTATCCCCTTTAAAAGCGATTTTAGGCTATGGACTTCTGTGAAACTCTTGTCCACTTATTTCTCATTTAACATTTTTCTAGTCAGAAGACACAATAAAAAACAAAAATCAGAGAGACAATTCAATACAGTCAGAATCCAGATGTTTGCTACACAGGAACATTCAATGTTCATAATCTGTTTGCCTGACATAAATTGGGACATTCAGAATGGCAAATCACATATGCAGAAGTGGTTATTAGTACTGATTTTTGTCAACCTAAAAAAGATTAAAGATTTCAAAAGAATTAAAGTAATTAGATACTCAGTGTGAGATGAAAGCATAGGTATTTTGCTGCCTTCACCAAACTTTGAGTTAATGAGAAACAAATATGCCTTGTGCAACCTTTAGGAAAAGCTAGCTCCACAGTCAACACACAGCCTGGAAAGATGTTGTAGAATAACTGGGGCCAAGGAGATAAGAAATGTAAAATCCATATAAAGAACACAGGGTAGCTTACAGAAAACATAGCAAGAAATGGTACCTGTTTTTTGAGACAGAAAAAGTTAAATTACTTGCCATGAGAATTTTTCTTGTTCACATAGTATGATTTTTCACTGTTACCCCCATATTTTTTGCTGAGAGACCCCGATGAGCCTCACAGATGAGAATGTGGTCACACACAGGACAACTCAGGAACCATAGTTCAGGATTTTGCAAGTATGGATTTGCCTCACAATAATCAAATACATAATTTTTCACTAAGCTAAGTAAGAACAAATATTTAGACTGTTGCCCAGCACAGACTAAGAACACCTTATTCAACTCTTCTGAAATTCAAAGCTACTCCGTCTACCAGGGTATGTAGTAAAAGCTAAAAAACTCAAATATGGTTCACCAGCAAGGGAGAGAAGCAGTGGTGAGGATGGATAGCTACAATTACATCTCATCTTCATTGTAACTACACTGTGTTCCAGAAACACAAGCTATCCTACCATGAAGTCAACTTGTTGTCACCATCTGATGTAAAGACAAGAAAATACCATGCTTTTTTGATCAATTTTTACTTCAAGATTGGTGTTGTTTGGTTTTATATGGGTTTTCATCTAGGTAGACATCCATGACCTTAGAGACTTCTGCTCAGGGAAACTACTTCAGCCTTTGCTGTCCAATATCCCATTAAGCCTATCCAGGAAAATGTGATTCCCACAGGAACTGCTGTAGTGAGCCCCCTGTCTGGGAGATCCTCTCTTTTAGGTATCTTGCTAGCTCTTTTTATTTGTGGCTGGGCTTCTGGTCACCTTGGCTTGTGGGCAACAAAACCAATTCCCAAGCTCTATCTTCGTTCCTTAACTCCTTCATGTTCCTCGAGCCACTACCTTTCTTTCACTCCCTAATCTTACCCTAAGCAACTCAAATAATTTCCACCAGTTTGGTTCCATTACCGCTCCACATTCTTCGCTCTTGCCTCCAGCCTCAGGATCTCCCAGTTTTCATTTCTCTTACTCTGCAACAGTCCTATTCAAGCACCTCATTCTCCCACTCCAGTACCAGCCTCACAGTTCTATTGGTTCCACCCCTCTGGACTTTCCAGTTTTTACAATTACTGAGTCTCTCCTCCTCCAAGTTTCTACTGGGACATGTCTAGATCACACACACCCTTCCCCGCTCCTCCTCTGCTTTTCCAAGGAGATCACTATCACTAGTTGTGCTCCCAATGCTGCCATGGAAATTAATCTGTTATAGAAATAAAACCTATCTATACAGGTAGGAAGGCTGCTACAGCTTTGGACAATGGGATTGTTCTTGTAGCCTAAAGATACCTATTGGACCTCTCTGACATGTGTGCTAGGGGTACAAACTACACTACCCTTCTCACTTGCCCTGCATTGCAAAACAGGAATCATGTTTATCCCCAAAGCTCTTTTTGCTGGCCAAAAAGATCTACATCCTGTTTCTTTGGGCTCAGCAGTGGCAAATGGTGCACCTAATCTGTTTCAGGAAGTCCTCAGTTGTCTTTGGAACCTTTAGAAAAAAAAAGTGCTGTTAATGACTGGCAAGTAGAAAGACGTTGTGGTGTCTACTGAATGCACAAACTGCCCTGCCACAAACACACCAGCTGCAAAGTTACTTGCTCCAACTGTGAACAGCACTTCAAGCATACAAAGTAAGGCACTAGTAAAGCACTAAAGAAGCTGAGAATGTTCATCATTACTCTAATTTGAACAACTTCAATGTATTGCGAAGGTTTGTCTTTGGAAGCAGGTTCTAATGCTACTCTTGCATACAGGTATGCTTCCAAAAGACTGGGCTGAAAATCTCTTATTGATGCACATCAATATGCCACACTCTTAGTGAACTTCACATGAAGAAACTATTTCAAATGAAAACTCTTTGTCTGGCTAACAATCCACTGCATCTGTGTAAAACCTACTCAGAAGAATTATGAGATTCATTTAGTAAGGCCACACAACCTTAAAAGTCCAGTATATTGAATAAAATAATTTTATTTGTATTTAATTAATTTGTTTATGAAAAACAAAGTTTATGGAATCTGAAAGTTGATGATAATAGGTAATTTTTAACTGAGACTTAATGTGAGAGACTCTCTACCCAAAAATATGTCAAACAGTAAGATTATAAAGAACTTTAACGTTCTGTGCTATACTGTATGCTATGTAAACAATTTTGAAAATACTTCCCCATTATATATTTTGACACAGTATGCACAAATTTAAAAAAATAAAATTAAAATGAAGTTTAAATGCCTCAAGGGATTTCTTAGAAGTAAAGCCATCTGAAAAGCCATTTACAATCTGCGGTGACAAATTTCTATATAATCAAAATATTCCCCATTTCACAATGCAGAATAACCTGCTGAAGGCAACTCCCTATCAAAGTGATGCCAGCAACACAGATCTGATTGTATGACTCCAGCACTTAAAAGAGCACATTGGTTATACATGGCTTTTAACCCTGGGCTACAGTTATGCTACCAGAACTAAATTCAAGTCTAAATCAGTCATGTAGAGAGGTGTGTGTCGTCTGAGTGCTGTTTAAAGTCCGTGTTTTCCAGATCTGATGAAGGTGGTGAAGACGCTCTGATGCTCTTGTGCTTACATTTAGGGCGGGATGAACTTTGCAAATACCAGATTCTCCAATTAATGACAAACCACAGATCCCAAAGTAGGCATGTAAAGCATCTGAAAGAAAGACAGAAAAAGAAAAAAAAAAAATTCAGGCTGTAACAGCCAATATTTAGCCCATATTCAAACACCTCAGAGTAATTACAAACAAGGAAAACAAATCATTAGGTACCGTATTTTAAACTTGAGTTTTGATGGAAGCAAAACACTTCTGCCCAGAGTTACCAGCATGAACTAAGGTCCAAACTTCTTTTATAACAAGTTGTGCACTACTTCATTTTTTCTGAGTGACACAGCCAAAAAGCAAAAGGATTTAAGTATCTGAAAATAACCAGTCCAGAAAGCAAGTTTTTTTTTAATTGCAAGCATTTTTTGGCCGTTTACTTTATGAGCAGCTAACTACGGAAGCAACAAAATTAGTGGAAATAGCTGCCAACAGCAAGACTTAAGAGAAAGTGAAGAAGGCATTACTTTTCCTAGTTTCCCATTTTCCTCAGTGATTATCCTAAGGATGGGAATTCATGCAGCTTGATCAAGAGATGACTGCCACCAAAATGGGATACTCTTATTCTCCTGTTCCATGCTGCTCCTGATGTCCACCTTACACCAGGGTTGCAGCTCGCTGAGTCTGCCTCCTCTGGGTAGCAGCAAGCTATTAGATTGGATCAGCTGCCCTTGAAATCACAGGTGAAAGATAGGAAGATGATGGGAATTTCATCTGCCCCTTGAAAAAGCTCAACATGTAGCACTCTATGTAGGTGTCAATAATTTAGTATCCCACTAAAATGATCACAGAATCATTTAGGCTGGAAAAGACCTCTAAGATCAGATTCCAATGCTTAACCTAACATTGCCAAGACCAGCACTAAACCCTGTCCCTAAGTGCCATATTGTCTCTCCAGGGATGGCGACTCAAACATTGCCTTGAGTAGCGTGTTCCAATGTTTACAACCCTTCTGGTAAAGAAATGTTTCCTACTATACAATCTACATCTCCTCCAGTGTAACCTGAGGCTGTTTCTTCTTGTCCTGTCAGTTCTGTGTTAAATAATAATGCTAGTGGCCTCCACAACCAACAGTATTTTGATGTCTGTTAGCATGGGAACACAGCAAGACTACAAAATATTATTTCCCTGAATAATCAGCTGGAAAGAGTTACTTGTTAATATTGCAAGTCCATATAACACATAGATTATCACCAGTAGTTGACTGTCTTCTGAAATTTCTTCTAGTCTTCTTCTTTAAAACATTACTGCACAGCAAAAACAGCTTGAGTCCCCATTTTAAACAGAGCTTTTATAAAGTAGGAGCCACAGAATTCAAAAATTCAATTCTGATTAAGTCTTAGTTATCTTTATAGTGTCAACATGATCAAAAGACAACTTGCCGTTCAGATATGAGACTGAGCTTGCAGGAAGCTCAGTTGCGTATCTGTAACAATGAAAACACAGAAGCTATCTTTGTAATCTCGATTTATAGTCTTTCTTTGTATCAGAACTGCACTTTTTACTTTTTCTTTCAAAATATGAGCACAGACTTATGCCACCATCTGCCTGAGGAAAAAATGCTACAGTAAGCCTGGAAAATACACAAGCATGCACACAAAGACCAAAGAAAAACAATTATTATTTGTCTTGCCTTTTTAAAATCTTATCTCAAACAGTCACAACTGTACTAAAAGTCAGAATCATAGAATCACAAAATAGCCTTAGTTGGAAGGACCCCACAAAGGCGATCAAAGTCTGACTCCTGGCTCTGCATAGGACACCCCAGGAGTTACACCACATGCCTGGGAGCATTGTCCAAAAATTTCTTGAACCCTCTCAATTTGGTGATATGACCACTTTCCTGAAAAGCCTGTTCCAGTGCCCAACCATCCTCTGGATGAAGAACCTTTTCCTAATATCCAAGCAAAACCTCCCTAATGCAACTTCAGGCCACTCCCTCATGTCCTGTCACTGTCAGAGCAGAGATCAGTGTCTGCCCCTCCTCTTCCCCACATGAGGAAGCTGTAGCTGCAGTGAGGTCTCCCCTCAGTCTCCTCTTCTCCAGGCTGAACAGACCAAGTGACCTCAGCCACTCCTCACACGGCTTCACCCCAAGGCCCTGCACCAGCCTTGTTTCCCTCCTCTGGACACTCTCTAACAGCTCAATGTCTTTTTTGTGTTGTGGCACCAGAACTGCCCCCAGCACTCGAGGTGACATGTACTGGACAGTTTGTCCAGAAGGATCTTGGAAGGAACACTACTGAAAGCCTCAGTTTACATCAACTGGCTTCCCTTGGTAATCTAGGGGGATAACCTTGTCATAAATGGAAATTAAGTTTAAGACAGGTTAACACATGATAGGTATTTGAAATAGACTTTTCTAATCTCTGACTCACAAGGCAAATGTTTCATTAAGATAAACCAAAAAACTCCCTCCAAATGATACTGTTAAATCTATATGATGAGGAGGAAATACATCTAAATTCCCCAGAAATACTAAATTGGTTTTCAGGGAAGAGGCAGAAGCAAATCTATTACAAGCACTGTATTTTCACTGTGGGTTCACCTTGAAAAATTCTGAACTGTTGCTCTAAATGAAATCATCAACAGATAAATACCAGGGCACAGATTCTAAATAGACTATTATGACTAAATTTTTATCTTATTTGGTCAGTTTACAAAGACTGTTTATCTCCCCCGTACAAAATGCCATGGGCACTGAAAACACTACTGGCACAAGCTTTGTTTTCAGAAGCTTGCAATACCTTAATTGAATTCTAACAACTTTGAAAATTAAAAGATTTTAACATCCTTTTGAGTTTTTTCACTACTTCAAATTATCCACTTCTGAAAGCATAACAACTCTCAGACATACTTGTATAAACACAATCTGTAAATCACAGTACATAACTGTGTACATTTTGACTGTTTTTATAGATATCAATGACTTCTGAATATGGTTAAATTATTAATTTACTAAAGAAACAAATATTTTGATATATTAAACTCAATTTACAGACATTCCTACAACACAGAGATTCCTTTAAGCAGAACAGTTAAACACATACTAAACAGACAGTAATACTCTTTTAACAGTAATCTAAACAACAACAGCTCACTTCCTCTGTGGTGGAACAAGGAAAAAGTTCATCTCCCTCTTCCTACTTCAAGAATGAAAACCCTTTTATATTTTGAGGTTTTTTTGGTTTTGTTTGGTTGGTTGGGTTTTTTTGCTTTTCTGGGTATTTTTTTTGAAGGATACAGTTTCCCTTACACGTCTCAGATGTATGCTGGAATTTATTTCTTACCTAGAACACACTCAATGCAATTTTGAGAAGTTATTTTACCTGGATGGCTGTCTGGCCACTTGGCGAACCCACCAACAAGGCGATCTTGAGTTGACAGGATGTAATTTCGGTTTTTCTCAAAATTTGTATATTGGAATATGTTCAAGAGCTGAAAAGAAATTAGATTGTAACAGTAATATAAGTCTTACTATACTTTTAACACAAAGTCTTAACTAAGTCTTAGTATATTTTTAACACTAGAATATAGTGCCTATTTTTAAGATAAGCAGTAACAGCACAGGTAGCACTTATCTGGCAAACCTCCATTTCTGACATTTTTGCAAGAGGAAAGACATTTATAGTCATTGGTGCATATCGGTGCACTTGTGTCAAATATCTAACGCTTTCAAACAAAGAAAATAGCGCTAAAAGAAATCAAAACAAGTCAATAACTATTCCCTACACTTGTTCTGTACACTACCTTCAATGTTGCTCCCACCCAAAAGGAATAGCAAGTGTCTACAGGTTTGTTGGGTCGTCCATGGTATCCATTCTGTTGCCTCATTATACACCATCTTCTTATTCTGTTCAGCTCTTTTTCTGAAAAAACTTCCTCCAGTTTGCCCATCAAACACAGTGATGCAATACCACAAAATGTAGAGCCCCCTGTGAAGAGAGAACAGGGTTTGCTATGTTTTGACACACAGATTTTCTAAAGCCTGTATGATCTCAGTGAGAACTTTAACTCAGCTATTAAATCAATGGACTTTTAAAAGTATGAAGAAGTAAATTTTAAGTCTAAAATCCAAATAAATAAGAACATTCTAGTTCAGCAGGTATGTCAAAGGTGGGGGGGAACGCCTCAACCCATATCTTGTAGAAATAAACCAGCTCATTTTCATGTTTCTTCTTACAATGCTATGCAATTTACATTAGCAGCAGTCCAGAAACAAGTAAATGGAATTGCAACAGAAATATTTCTTCACTGGTAACTTAAAAAAGAAAGCTATTGGAATGCCAGCAATCAGACTGAAGCAGAGATGCCAAAGCCAGCCTCAGACACAATCCCCCAGAGAATATAAACAGAAAGAAGTGTCTGGAGAGCAGAAGGAAAAAGAAAATCCAAACTAAAATTATATTAAAAAAAAAAAAAGTGCACAGTTAATAAGAGGAAAAGACTCCTGGGCTCTCATGCTTGCAATACATACAAATTGTGCTTCTAAGGAATTTTTTGCTGTCAAGGAAACTTCGCAGTAAAAAAGATAAACTCATGTTCTTTGTGTAGCCCAGTCACCACTTTTTAAAGCCCATCAAACTTTATTTTGAGTCTAATACTTGATATGATAAAATCAGAGGGCAGGAAAGACCATAAGCAAGCTACTGACAGAAGACTTGGACCCCAAAGTTCCTTATAATACCCTGGTGCTGGATGACCCCAGGAACTGTAAGATTATTTTCACTCTGATGCTGAAATGCAGTGTTCAAGTACTGCTATTTGTTATCACTAACATTCTACAGAAAGTTAATTAACCAATTGTTTTAATACCCAGGAGTATAATTTAAATTTTTCAGCTTTATTCATCCAGCAAGAAGGAAACAGACAAAATCCTACTGAAGCTCAATACTAAGGGTAAAGATAACAAACATTTGATAGGATCATAGAATCATTTAGGTTGGAAAAGACCTCCAAGATCATCAAGTCCAACCTTGGACCAATCAGTCAAACAGACCACAGCACTAGGTAGAGTATCAGTCACCTAAAAGCCAAAAACTCCTCTGTCACAAGCAGACTGCTACATTATGGCATAGAAACATTTTGTTTAAAAATAGCAGTCTCTTGGGGATTCCTATATTCAGATCTACCAACTATTTACAACAATTAACTGTTACTTCAAGATTTAAACCCACAACCCACAAGATGCTGTATCTATCAGAGGAAATGTTTCTATGTTTTACCAAAGCTGTTGAAATTGGAAATGATCAGTTACATTACACAAAATCTCTTGCAGATAAAATCCTCAGAGTCACAATGGCGCATGTGGAAAAAGTTTGCTCTGTCAGCAACATCTGAGAACTACAAGCAACACCTTTCAACAAAACACTCATGAGATAAGATTAATGGGAGTGATTAAAAAAAGCCTGTCTGTTCAGATAATCTAGATCTAAAGGAAGAAGTGGTATTTGGAGGTATGTTTTGGATTTGCTCCTCCTCACACAACTTCCTTAAAAGTCAGAAAAGAAGGAAAGGTATGGCATACCCTGCACCTCCTATAGCATTTTCAATACCACTCTGAAAGGTGCAGAACACTTTGACATTCTTACCATGAGATTCCAGTCCAGCTCCCTGTGCCAGGCCATTATCATAAGACTGAAGAAAAAAAAAAAATCCCACAAAGCAGTTACTTTAGAACCACAGCACTTTGATAGACATTGCAATTCTTAGTTTACCAGCAAAATTATCATCAGATCATTGCCACAATTTAACCTCATTAAATTCTGAACCTCCATAAGTTCTTGGCACAACACAGTTAACAAATCAGCTCTTTTTCAATGCACTAAGTTTTTATGACTTCCATGGAATTAATTTTAGTTGTGACATGTTAGAAACCTGAAAAAGGGTAAGCCACAAAAAAACTCCCATGTAATGCAGGTATAAAAAGAAAAAAAAAATGCATATGCAATCAAAACAAAACAGAATTAAACGGGTAACTTAATCTGTCTCTAAATCCAAGAGCAGTTTAACATTAAAAAAGAGGTAAAATACAAAGTACTACTATGCGTAGAATACTTAAATCCAAGCAATTCTTTAGTAAGAAGCAAGTACATCAGGCTTTAAAAAACAGTGAGAAGGGAACCAGAAGTAAGAAGAAAATTATAACATGCATTCAAATAAACTTAAATTGGCCTTTCAAATATTACTGTTAAAAAATACCACTACAGTGCTGAAAATCCACTTTGTTAAGTGCAACAGAAGGGGAAACTCAAGTTTGACAATGCACCAGGAGAATCATAGTTCATGTCTCTCACAAGCAATCTAGGAACATAGGTATATGTAAGAATAATAATCTTTCTTCCCTAAAAATCCATTCAATCATTTTTCTTGGAAAGAAACAAAAGATCATCACAAAAGAAATTATTCATAAAATGGAAAATATTTATTTTACAAGAGTTCATAGAATACTTAATGAATTATCTCTGAACAAACACCACATTACTTAGTAGGAACAATGAGGAGTAACTCTTGAAGTTAACTTACATAGGCCCTACGTATTCTACAACAACTGCTCAATTAAGGACTGGATCAGTATATGATCAGACACAAAGCTCCAAAAATCTTTCCCCCACATCCTCCAGGTGCTGACTGTGATTTTCTCATGTCTTCTCTAAAACACTGGCTAGTAGATACAGGACACCATGACAAACCAATAATGACTCCCACAGTCCTAACCAAAGAATGGCTACAGGACTATCGTATCTTTAGAAATTACCGAAGGATTATTTTGTCTATCGGCTTTTAAAGCTGACATTGAGGGAAAAAAAGTAAACAGAAGAAGATGACACAGAAGCTACACTAAAACTGTATTCCTAGTTTTGAGTTGTTGCTGCAAGTTTTATATTTGATACATACACTTCAAGCTGCAGCTTGATTTTTCAGGGTTGAACCAGTAAATTTTAGTAATCTCTATGAACTTCTGAATGTTAAAGCACACAATGTGAACTCTTCCTTTTTCACTGCCTTTTGAGAATGCAATACAAATGTGCTACCACGCTCCACAGATGCATTTATTGCTAAGAAAAGGCAAGCTGATTGGCAAAGCTAATTAACTCTACAAGCAGCAATTTTAAGAGGAAGTGGCTTGCTTTATGTATGACAAAGTCATTAGCTCTAGAAAAAAGCTATTAAGTGTGCATCCCAGACACTACTATGTTGGGCTGTACAATCAGCTTTAAACTCTAATAAACAATAGCTGACCCTTGGCTAACTGACACCTATTTATTTACAGACAGCAGCTGCTCTCTGGGGACTTGTGTGCCTTAAAGAGCTAGGGACTACTTTTATTTCTTGGTCCTTCTGAACTCCAGAAACTGCATGCAAAAGGAGCTCTTGATTATTGCAGCATGAAAACTGCATAGATAAATACTATCCTCAGGAATTGTGAAAATACAGTTCAGTAAAATCTTCACTTCAAAGTCTACAAGTTTTACAACCAGTTTACACGTATCAACAGACCAATACAAGTGCATTTGAAGAACACTACACTAGAAGAAGCAGATGATATTTTAAAAGCTTCTTGCAATATCTCTACCTAAAAAAAATATTTTTGTTGCAAAGAACAGTGTTATTCAGTCTCTGGAAGTCACTCAAATTCTCAGCATTCTAGTGTTTGCTGTCTTTTGATTAGTGATATATCTGAGTTTTGAATGTGAAAGACAAGAGTTGCTCTACACTGCTAAAAATTGTGTGTTGAAATCTGACTATTTTACTGACAATAAAACTGGTCAATAATTATTTTTGTGATCAGCATTGTATGAAGACATTTTTAGTCGAACAACAAGAAGAAGGCTATCTATTCTATATGAAGATGCAATTCTTTTTAACATTTTAAACATGGTTTATGTTCCAATCTCTTGCTGTTCTTGACATGCCTAACTAAACAAATGCAATTCCTCATTCAGCTGTAGTGAATTGTATGTCACAATTCTTATACTGCATCACTAAAGGCAACAAATTCCAAAGAATAAGCTAAAAAATCCACAAGCTTATGACAAAGAGTACTGCGGTTAACCAGTTACATTATTCTCAATCCAGATCAGTTGTACTTCACATGTACGGCAATTTGAAAACCTGAAAGAAGTTCTGTTAATTGTCATATGCCTCATCTAGGTGCACACGAGTGACACACAACAGTAAATCAAAACCACACCTTCCGGTCAAAGCCGTTTGGTACTGAGCAATGCAATCCCTTTTTTTCTGTAACTAAAGAGACAGAATGAGGTGATATTGTAGCGAAATGGGAATAAGCATTTACAATAAAGCTTATAGTTATTAATGGTATAGTTAGTTACACAAGGAGTAGCAAATGAAATAACCTCAAATAGAATTTACTTTAAATTGTTCCATTGTATAGGTTAGTTCTAGCACCATCTACAAAACCTTAATGAGAGAAATCAAGCTAACATTCTTGGATGCCACATTTCACAGTCATTGCCTTTATTTATGAGATACACTTTAAGAAATATCTGGCTACTGTGATAGGTAATTAAGCTGAAATACATCTCAAGGAAAGTGGTGGAAAGAGATTAATGAATGAAAGAAAAGAACAACCACTGCTGTGAAATGATCTTCACAATGGGCTACTCCCTGACTGTCTTGAGACTTCTTCAGACACATTCACAGCTTCTAAATGTGACCAAGCAGGATGCAAAGGTTTTGGGTCTTTTCCTAGAATTGCCACCCACATTGCAACTGAATTAACTCACAGAAATACTGGTGGGCCAAGGAGTGAAAACCCAGTAAACACAGACAGAACCAGTGTACATTTGCATACCAGCTCTGCAGTGAATTCACAGCACACAAGTGGTTTAAAGAAGTCCTACTGAACACAGTGTAGATTACCTACCAATTCACAGTAAACCTGGATAAAAATACAGTGTGTCTTACTGCACATTTCTACATGCTGCAATTACTGCTCCCTACAGAGCATTGCTTATAGGATCTATCTAAGTTAATCCCTGAGCTAGCCAGGAAAAGACACAACCTTTGTGATAAGTCACAGTGTCTTCTGAGCTTTGACCATGCCAAGACTTAGTTCTACTTTACTGGTGAACTGAAGCATTAGTAGGAGGCCTTCCAAGATGTCTTGCCATGGTATGGCTTCAATTATTACGTTTTTTTTTTAAATGATACCTATTTTTCCAATAGGAACATAATGACTGGAATTTGCAGGTGCAACAATTGATTCTAAGCTCTAGAAGCGAAGTTTAAATTTGGTTCAAGACCACACTACACAATCAATCTCCAGTACCACTTCAAAGCTCTAAACTTTCAAAAAATCTTCACTTACCTGCCCTGGCCTCAGAATAGGCTTGTTAATGGCCTTATCTGAAGTTCTCTGTCTGTTCTGTCTTAGAAAGAAACAGTTGCTTCTCCCTCTCTTTATTTTTCACTGCTGCCTGTTACATTAGATATCTCTGTCACACTCCAGTTAACAATCTGATTTCCAGAATAAAGACTCCTACTATATTAAATACTCTTTTTACAGAAGCTGTTTCATACCTTTCACAGTTCAACTCAACTTTCTTTGTCCCGTTCCGAGTTCCACCATCTACTTTGGGATCAAAACTGCACTCAAATGTTCACAAGGTTAACTAACAGACAATGTGATGTACAGAACTACAATGAGGATTTTGCCCTCGGGTTTTGTTTTCTATTCTTTTGTAACACTTGATTCTCCCATGGTAACTCTGCCAACCTATTTGACTAAAGACCGATCTCAGTAAACATTAAGGTCCAGAAATGATCAGAGGACGAAGAATACTCCCAAGCTAATCAGTAGGAGCAAGCACCCTGCCTAAGCTCCTCTCTCAGACTGTGAAAGGAGAATGGATACATCACTGTCCTTGGGTGAAACCCACTGAAAGGATTCAGCAAGGATATTGTCATGCTGAGAACCCATGCTAACTAAGGTAAGCTACCAACTATGGGAGAAGGGCTCTTATGGGATGGAGGGGAGGAAGATTCCAGGACTGCATAGAAACACACTTTTCATGGACTGCTTTCTGGGGAACGCAGGGGTGAGCATAACTTACTATGCGATGGATAGGGAAAGGGTCAGTGGTAAGAAACAGAAGTATCAAATCAGACTGGGGAAGAACAAGCAAGGGGAAACAGAGGGGGAAATGGGATAAAAGGTGCTAGTAGGGTGTGAACAGACTGCAGGTCCCTATCCTTGTATGACTGAGCCCTGGCCTTGATCATCTCAGTCTGTCCAGGACTGTGGCAGTGTGCCAGAACGCTTCTTGAGGTGTACAGTAAGAAATACTAAGACATCCAAGTACCTCCTTTAAAAATAAACAACAAATAAAAAGCAACTTGGTCTGAAGCAGGAGATTTTGAAGTCTTGTTTTAAACTTGTTTCTCACATAAATTTTACGATCTTGCTGCTGACAGTAACTACTGAAAACAGTAATTTACAACAGAAGTTGTGTGTCATCATAAATTTGGGTCTTCTTTGTGGACCACAAGAGTTTAATCTGTGTTTACTCACACTAAGGGAACTGCAATTTTCAAGTTTGCTCAGCTTCCTTAAAAGACTGTGTTTCAATCTTTGAAAATGATTAATGCAATTAAACTAATGTAACAACATGAAAAATAATGGAAATCTCCTTTACTCCAATCAAATACGAAGACAATTTGCACAGACATAGAAAAAAAAGTGTACGTCCTCGTGAATATATTTTTTCATTACAAGTATCTAATAAATAAATTATGAAGTGCATGACTGGAAACACTTAAGCATGAACTGAAGTCAATAATTAGTTTATTTGAATCTGTGTATCTTTTAAAAAGCAGTACTACAGCTCAATGAAATATGAGGACTTTATTGGTACACTTTTCCAAGTGCTTTATGCACTTTTTCTAATTTACACAAACATCACACCTTAGTTTTCAAAAACTTGCTTTCAGTTGTTTAATTATTTTAAATAAAGAGGTTTTTTAATACAATTTGCAATGAACAAACACACCAAATAAAATTATCTTGCTAGCACAAGCATTTTAATGAAAATACAAATGCAAAAAACCAATGTACTTTGTAATTCTCAACTCACTAGAGCAGGAAGAAAAAATAAAGAAATTACTGTAACACAGTTTGGACAGACTTTTTTTTAGCCACAGTTAAGAAAAAAAGCTTAAAGCCTTAAAGCATAGGAAGAAGCAACGCTTTGTGAACACTCACCATACTTCTTCTAATGTAGTCTATTGCTTTCTTCATATCCATGCCTGACCAGTTATCGAGCATGTAGCAGATACAGGAAGCACAGTACACAAACCTCATATCATTCTCACTTCCTTCCAGCACTGCACAGAAACTGAAAGAAACATTTCTGTCTTTAAACACTGTTTCGCCTGTTAGACCAGAAAATATGAAATGTGGTTCCAAGAATTACACAGTGTTTTCTTAAAAGATTAGTTTACAGTAGTCTCATAAATATAACCCAAAGCTACACTAGATTTTCTTTTTAGAAGATGTGATTCTAAGCCAAGTAAAATGCATTAGAACTCTAACATTTAGGAGCCTGAGCAACTGTTTCCAGCAACATAACAATACTGGTGTTCATTTATTCCAAGATGTCTATGCTTACAGTCTTTCATCTATTACAGTATATACCGATGCATGACTTACCGTTTTATCTCTTTTGGGCAGAATTCTTTGACTTCCTAGGAATCCTAATAGCTCACAAGGCTTTCCTTACTGTAACTTGAGGACCAGTTTCCCAGGTATGTATAAATGTAATTGCTCATACTACGATTTCTAATACAAATGGTGAATCAGTTTTTAATTATTTATTGTTTCAATCACACCAAACTCTATGAACATTTAAAAATTTTTGTATCTGGGTTGTTTTTGCACTATCTCAGAGACTCTTAAGATGATGATGAATGCCCTGATTTGGATGTTTGCATCAGAAAGTGGCCAACAGAACCAGGGCAGTAACCACGTCCCTGTACTGGGCACTGGTGAGGCCATGCCTCTAGCTTTGTGTTCTGTTTTGGCCCCTCAAGACAAGGAAGACCACTGAGGTGCTAGGGAAGGGCAGTGGAGCTGGGAAGAGTTTGGATCACAAATCTGATGAGGAGCAGCCAAAGGAGCTGGGGCTGTTCAGCCTGGAGAAAAGAACACTGAGAGGACACCTTATCACTCAACTACCTGAAAGGTGGCAAGGTGGGACAGAGGAAATGGCTTCAAGTTGTAGCAGGTGACTACGTTAGTCACCTAAATTAGGTATTAGAAAAAAATCCTTCCTCAGAAGGGTTGTCTAGCACTGGAACAGGCTGCCCAGGGAAATGGTGGAGTCACCATCCCTGAAGGTATTTTAAAGACATGTAGGTGTGGCACTTAAGGACATGGTTTAGTGCTGCACTTGGCAGTGCTGGGTTAAGAGTTGGACTTCATGATGTCAAAGGTCTTTTACAACCTAAATGCTTCTACGATATACAAAAATAGGTAAATGTTGAATTACCCGTGACAATAAATAAACTTTTAATTTTTTCTTCTAGGATTTGCTGCTTGGCAAGCCCCCATTTGGTTCAAAGAGCTAGTTAGTGCCCTCTGATGACTTAACTACTTCCAAAAAGCCAGCATGTGTTCTATGACTCATGTGACTACCAATCAAACTATTTTTCTAATAGAACAAAAAGATTATAGCTACTTCTATAAAAACCATGTTTCTCACATTTCATTCTACATGTGGGTAGTGGGAGTTGCAGCATATAAAATATCTTTTACCTTCCATCCTCCAGCTGGAGAGCTCTCAGTCCTGCCAGTATGGCATCTTTATTTACTCGACTTAAATCATCTCCAAGAATAACCAGACATGATAGTCCTGTGTAAGTCATTGCTATGTGCCCACTATCATAGGGATGAGATATACCTGGACCCTAAAAAAGGAGGAAAAAAATAGAAATATTGAAACATCACAAGAGCTTACACTACAGCAAATCTTTTTTCTTCTTTTTTTTTTTCTTTTAAGGTAAGAGGTAAACAAATAACTTTTCCCTTCACTCATTATGGTTAAACTGAAGGTATCCTGCTCAGCTTTCCTCATCCAACTCTGCTCAGCTTTCCTTATCAAACTAAGCTACTGCATAACTCTGCTGCTCTTGTAAACACTTGGTCAACAGGAACCTTTGGAAAAAAGCTTTCCCAAGAGCTCCATTTGTGAAACGATTAAGGAAAAAATGGGATGTCCTCAACTGTACCTAGGTTTCTACTGACACACCACTGGGCATTAGCTTTCTGTCAGCTGGGAAAGCACTCTTAAACAGCCAAACTCTGGAGGTCCCTCAGCAGAGATTTTACACCATAATGATCTACAAGGAGAAAGCAGTATGAGAGATTATTAGTAATCTCTCTGACAACTGAAGCAATACCAAATTAGCCACTTACCCACTTTTGTTTCTATTTTAAAATAATAACCAGAATTCAAAGTATTTATATACCAAATAATTAAAGAAGCATACAATATCCTAAGTTGGAACGTACTCACAAGGATCACTGAATGTCAACTGAGAAGCAAAAATTATAGTTAAAGGCTGACTAGTCCCACAATACTTGTCATAGAAATGGGGAAGGGATTGATACAGCTGTGCTAAAACTACTGTTTTTCTTTATGGTATTTTATAGGCCCATACTGGACTGTACCACTTCATGAAAACAGAGACCACATGTGAAAAGATGACTGTGGATACTTGGGATAGTTCAGTTTGGAGCAACTGGAAAATAACTATTTTATACACAGTAAAAGCTATTTCAATACTGAGTAGTAGAGAAAGATTTTTAAATGATATTTTATCAGCATTATTGCCTAATCAGTTGCAATTCATCCTAAAAACACAAAAAAAAAGCAGTATATAAAACCAAATTTAATATTATGTTATGTGTAATTGGTATTTTTCAGGCAAGTCATGCTTATTTCCAAAGTCAAAAAACTCTGCTTCTAGTAAGATAGTGGTAGAAAAATTGTTATTACCCACTGGACAGCAAGAGACTTTCACTCAAAGGAATCAAAGACAATTGGGAAACAGAGGCAGAAAACAGGGTGAAATGGGTTCAGCAGCACTGAAAAAGCTGGTAACAGATAAAAGTGAAGGAGAACAGGAGTGTATGTGCTGAGAGTTGCACCTCCTCTCCCTTATTTCTAGCCCTAGACCCTCTCTTGAGGTGTCATTACAAATCTCAACAGCTCCCACTCCCATCCCTGTACTGCCAGTGCTCCCATTATTGTCTCCTACCCTACACATTAAATAAACATATAGGGTACATTGAATTGCTTTTGTTAAGTGCACTCTACTGACGTGAGCTAATGCACTGGTGCAAACATACTCTGAGAAAACAACAAAGGGGTATGGCCAGGGTTTGTTCTCTATGCACTTTGCCTTTTGTAAGAACTAAGTCTGTAGGTCCCACAGGAAATAGGTTTACTTAGATCTCAGAGATGAGTAAACAGTTCTATTCTGTTGGAATTACCATCATGTTCTTCACAATCTCAGCCTTTTTTAAAATAATTAACAGTTAAAAGATTTAAGCTGGGGGGAAGCTTTCAAACATTTAAACTTGGCTCAGTGATGTGACAGTGTTCCCTAGTATATCTATTAGAACAGCCATTAAAACATAACTCATGGCCACCAAGAATTTCCAGTGACCACTGCAGAGCCAAGAAACTCTGCTGCAGAAGCACGGGTAAGATCTCTTCAAACACTGATAAAGAATGCTACTAAACATGCACCTGCACAGGCACAGTCCCACTTTCAAGACAGGGCTCCTTCAAGCAGGTGCCAATCCGCACACGGAGTGAAGTGGTTTTGACATGTTTGCACAGAGTATGTGCTGAGTGCTAAGTCCACCAACTCAACACACCTGGTTACAGCCAAGAAGCTTAATTAAGCTTTCAAAATACACAAGTATGTAGTTATCTAATTTCTAAAGAAATGCCTACTTAATAGCTATTTGACAATCTACCTTTTGCGTGCTTTGATGTATTTCACAACACACTTTGCAGGTGTTCATTTGGTAGGGGTTTTCACTTGCACATGCGTAGCCTCAGCTTTAGAGGCGTCTTTTTCATGTCATAATGACTTAAGTGCATCTAAAGCACATGATTTTAGCTATTTAGCTAATTTGACTAAAACTTACAGCACATTGGCAAATGTAGTATCTAGCCACCAATTCAAAGTAACTCTGCTTCTGTATATCTCTTTAATAGTTTCAAAACTATTCTGCAAGACCTTGCCATGCCTCACTTTGTGGAACCACAAAATGCCCCGGGTTGGAAGGGACCTTAAGGTCATCTTGTTGCAATTCCCCTTGCAAAGAGAGGCTTTTCAGTAGACCATGTTGCACGGGACCTCTAAACATGTAATACAGAGATGTTTGTTTAAAATAAAAAAAATATGGAGTACAGAGATATTTTGGCCCAGGCTTACCTGGGTCTTTACAGTATTTATTTTTATCTTACAATTACTTTTATATTCTATTTATTGTTATTATTTTAATTAACTCTGAAAAATATTTATAACCATTCATCTTTCACCAGTATCAGTGTTGCAGCCTTGAGAAAATACAATGTCATGTCAGGAACACTAAAGATATCTTTTTTTCCCCCAAGTGAAAGCTTATGTTAATTACCACAATCTTACATAAAAGTTGCAGCTATTGAAAACTAAATTCTAATTCACAACACTTTTAACATACTAAAACTGAATCACAACACTTTCAACATACTGAAAAGACTTAGGCCTACCTGAAACTTTGAGGAGACTTTTCACCCCTAAATTAAAAGCTAGTTTAAACTGCAGTAACAGCAAATCTGAGACACTTCAAAATCTGGAGCCATTTCAGTATACAATTATTTTCTAATCCTAAAAGTAATCATGTTTTGAATGTGATGATAGAGGAGTCACTCTTAACCTTCATTCACAGTAAGACTGTCACAGTTTGTGAGGGCTGTGTGGTGAGTTGGTGAAGTGGATATGCTTTTGTTTCAACTTTTGCTTCTGTCCCAAAAAGCTGCAAAGAACACGACTGTCAAACACCTCAAAGGCAACAGCTAAAACACCACAACTCCCAAATCAAACCCAAATGACATGCTCTTCAGAGATTTAGCAAAGCTGGATATTCTAACATAACCCTCACTTTTTTTTATTATTTTGAAGGGCCCCTAGGGACTGAATAGATTTGGCTATCACTTTCCTAGAGTTCAAGAATGAAATCACTGTAGTGGCATGTAATAGATAGTAAATGTCAATGCAAATCCAAAATGCTTACAAGCTTTTTAAAAAAATATTTTTCATGGCAGACTTAATAGAACACTTTTAAATACTGAAAAAAGAAAAATTATATGACCATAAACACATCCCAGAGTCATGGCAGTGAATTTTCAACTCTTTTTTTCTGAGTTATTTCAGAACATTTCAAGCAACAATTTTGTAAATGTTTTACACCTTTCTTTGCTAATAAATCAAACAGATGTAATCCCTCAAATGCAGATACAATGAAGAAAGTACTGCAATGCTTGCATAAAAACCACATCTATGTGCAAACTATTTTCTAGAGATAGTGACCTTGCAGCTAATTTCTAGAGGTAACTTGATTCCACGCCTTCACATCAAATGTGTAGTGGCCAACATATCCTAAGACACCAATGGACAAATATTTCCAGTAAAGATAATATTTCACTATGAAACATTTATTATTGGAAAGTGAGAATTAAATTAAAAAACCAGAAAGTGCTGGGAGGGGAAAACAATGCTCTGCCAATCCTACAGACTTTTTGTGTTCATGGCCCTTTACAAGATCTCAGAACTATATCCAGAATGAACTCTTCTAGCTTTGTGTGAAGCTGGGGAGTATTTGAAAAAGGTTTCCAAAAGTATACACTACTACTACTGCTATTTAAAATACTACACTGTAGAGCTGCTAACTGAGTGATACAGCTGGAAATGGAAAGTAGAGGCCAGTATGTAGGAAAGACTGCTAAAGCAGTACAGCAGTTCTGTCCTGTGTTTGAGAGTGAAGAATCAAATTATACTGAAAAGGGGACGAAAAATGTGTGAGACCACTAAACTAGCCTCTGCTAACCTCATTTCTGTGTTTTATTAAAGGCATTTTCTTTTCATATGGAAGTTTAACTCTACTGAACCTCAGTTCACTGGATGCTTCAAAGCATCCGTTCGTATCGCCGTGACAAACAGGGATGAACAGATGTGCCTAAGTCCAGGTGGGTATCAGGTGCAGTCAAATACACATGATTCAACACAGGAAGAGCTTCTTTCTACCAGTTGCAGACACTCACACTTGCAGTTGTAGACACTCACTTTGGAAGAAACACTCAGGCCCAGTCTATCAATACATGCCTCCCTGGCTGGTGCCACTGCCAAGATTTTAGGTAGTTTTTTTGACCTGGGGGGGGATGGCCTACATGGCAGCAGACACATTGGAAGCAGACGGGATTCACTTTTCTTAAAGGCCCTGGACAAGCTCCACAAGTGGGTCATAGAACCTCATGAGATTTAACAAGACCAAGTGCAAGGTACTACACCCAGGTCTGCACAACCCCAGACTGGGAGTGTACAGGCTGGGAGAAGAACAGAAGTCATCGAGAGCAAAGGGCTTGGGGGCCCTGGTGGATGAGCTGGACATGAGCTGGCCATGAGCTCTCACAGCCCAGAAAGCCAAATGTGTCCTGGGCTGCATCCAAAGCAGCATGGCCAGCAGAGCAAGAGAGGGGATTCTGCCTCCCTCTTGTGAGACCCCATACGGAATGCTGTGTCCATCCCTGGGGGATTTGTCAGCCTGGAAAAGAGGAGGCTTTGAGGTGACTTAATTGTGGCCTTCCAGTTCCTGAAGGGACCCTCCAAGAAAGATGGAGAGAGACTTTTTACCAGAGCATGCAGTGACAGGACAAGGGGAATGGCTTTAAACTGAAAGAGGGCAGGTTTAGATTACATATTAGGAAGAAATTCTTTACTGTGAGGGTGGCGAGGCATTAGAACAGATTGTCCAGAGCTGTGGAATCCCCATCCCTGGAAGGATCCAAGGCCAGGCTGAATGAGATCCTGAGCAATCTCGCCTAGTGGAAGGTGTCCCTGCCTGTGGCAAGGGGATAGGAGCTAGATGATCTTAAGGGCCCTTTCCACCCTGAACCTTTCTATGATACCAAGGAACAGCACGTTCTGCATCACTTAATTAGGGTTATTCTGCTTGGCTTCTCTACCTCATGACAACTCTTCAGCTAGATAAGTTTTCCTTTGTTAAGAGAAGACCAGAGAAGGAGGAGACCGCATTGAGATAAGCCACAATTTGTGTGTCAGTTTCTTCACTGCTGTGAGAATTTAAGTTCTAGGTAACATTTCAGTATGTTTCTTATGCACATTTCTTAAAAGTTCTGCAAACATTTCAGTATTAACAGTACAAAATTCTCTGCCTTCCAGACATTCTGTAATTATGCAGTTAACATTACAAAAAAGACACAAGATCATTTATTGCCTAATTGAAAACATTACACATACACATTCTTAACTGACCTTGGAGGGATTGAATGGCATCCCTAAATATGAAGAACCTCTGAATCCACAGCGATTCATATTTGATCCTGGAAAAGATTAAAACAATACTCAACTAACTTGTTTTGTTGAAACATTTATTATAAACCATAATTCTCTAATGAGATCAAGAGCCGTTAGTTCAACACTATTCACAGACTTAATAAAGTGTGCACGTGTCTCTCAGTTCCCAACCTTAGTTTGGTATCTCTCCGATTAACCAAAAAAAAAAAAAAAAAAGTAAACCACAAGCAAACTTAACCTACTTATTGCTGTAGTGACAAAACACAAAGCATCAGATTTTCAGATTTTAATTTGGTGGAAATACAGTTTGTGTCACCACAGACTTGTCTTCCATGCTCACAAGAAAAAAAGAGAAAAGGACTGCTCCCCTGGGAAAATGGCCAGAGTTAACATATTTTTTTATTCCTCTCTGGATTCTTGCCTGGTAATACCATCTGTTCCCAAGCAGAACTGTTTCAAGATACTTCGCAACATGTTCAAGGATAAACAATTCACAGTTTTAAGCACATTGTAGCTATCAAACATTTCTGTCAGTAATACAGTATAATTTGTTTCAAACGCGTCACAATACCTGAGCAGTGGCACATAGAACTGTGAACCACACACTGTTAAGAGTTTAAGTACAGCTTTGGAGGGCTCGAACTTGCTTTGCGTGGCAAATCTCAGTTGTTTACTGCTCAGTGTCTGAAACTAAAAACCTAATGAATGCTACAGTCACACAGCAGCTGGTTGTTCCTAAATACTATCGACCTCTTTTAAGTTATTCAGCCTTTAAGCTAAAAATCCTCATGGACATTAGAGAAGATTGCACCACAATAAAGAAGAATGAATAGTTATAAAGCTGAAGAGTCTAAGTGACGTCACTATGCAATGTGGTCTACAAGCTCGAGTGTAATTTAGCAGCATATTACCTTCTAATTCTAAATATACTCTGTTATATATGCAAAATTTAAACTAGAAAGGTTTCATTAGTTTAAGAATTTCAGTTTGGCCTGAAGTATGCAAGCTTCTCTGCCAGACAAGTCTTTGGAGCTAAGTGACATGGAGCAAAACACCTGCCATTCTCCACTTCCTCCACGGTTCAGTCAAAAGTACTTCTCAATGATTCTACACATGTAACAAAAGCAACTTCAGTCTGCTTAAAAGCTGGTGAGCCATAGTCTGATCCACACAGAGGAGGCAGAAAGAAAGAAAGAAACAGAAAGAAACAAAAAGAAAAAAAAATTAGTAGCTGTTTTATTATAATGTAAACATTCTCAGCAGAGAACATTAATTTGTTCATTTGCAGAGTCAAAAACTTGCATTTCATGTTGCCTCAGCCTCTGCAAAGCACAAAAAATTAAATGAGTCTTAAAGACTAATCTAATGTCCCAAGGGACACTGCCCAAAAAAGCATAACAATTTCAAAAATGATACAATGTGAACAAACCAGTAAGAGAAGACCTAGAATTCCAGCCTGGTAAGTCCCAGATTTCCTAGGCAACATTGTGGGAGGGGAAAAAAAAATCACCATTCATTTTCAGTAAAAATGAACCTGTGTCTTAAGTGCTTAAGCAAACTAGAACACTCACTTTGAAATTATACTGGTGTGGAAACCTTTCACCTAGAAAAGAGTTATTATGCTACTAACACAGCTATTCTGGCCTGCTGCAAAGGATGCATGCCACAATTCAGACACTCTGCAGTTTAACAGAACTCAGCTGACAGTTGCTAGATGGAAGGATTTACCTCAGAAATACCAATTCCCAACCCTGGCCTTTTGGAGTGGAGCTTATAATTCATTATCAAGGTAGAAATGGCAGCATGAAACCCAAGTTTGTGTGCTGTTAGTGGGTCACTCTGATCGCCTTCCGAATTCACAGATGCTATACAAATAAATTAAAAATAAAGTAATGAAATAATTGTCTATTGCTCCCTTTAGATGCTCAATTTTCATGTAGTATTTCAAAACCTTTCTTGCACTACTAAGCATTTATCAACTAGAAAACAGCATCTGCAATTTTAAAATTGGATTTTAAAGTTGAATCTTTAATTCTATTGCTATGAATTTAAAATCTATTTTGATACTTTTTGTCAGAACTCCTCATCTCCCACTCCAAACTTCACACACTGGCTCCTAGGAAAAACAGAGACCAACATGCCCTTTAGGGAAAACTTTAGGGCAAACTTTGCAGGGAATTTGATCCTGTATTCAAATGCATTAATGTGCTTGCAATAGATGCTTCCTAGACCTTCCTAGACTATTACAAGTGAGTTGCTAAATCTCTAGTCACAGTACCTGAAGTAAAAAATAGAATTCTGAATTGCTAAAGAAGCGTTAAAACAGGAAGTGAAAACAGCTTGCTTTTAACCACATGACTCTGGAACACTGATGTAGTGTCTCGAAATGTTTTTTTTAGCATCCTGTGAGCATACTAGTTGAAAAGCAAATGAAAACCAAAGGCAAGTTACAGGAAATGACTGTCTTTCAGTTTATGAAAGAAACTTTACCATGTGAAATTTCATCTTCTGTAAAGTTGACTTTACTATTTTATTGCTATTTACTTGTACTTTTTGTTTTATGTAATAGCTTAGTATTGCTAATCAAACTCTTCACTTTTCTGAACCAAAAATGGGCTGTCAGAATCAGAAAAAGAATTAAAAACAAAATAGACCCAAATTAAAAGGACGTGATTGCAGCCTACGTCCCTTGGGGAAAAGCTGCTGGTGTGGTCAGTTCAGCTCCAGCAGAGTTTGCTGTGCCTCACCTCAACTGCAGCTGTGAAATGGTACCACCTGGTGTTCACTTCCACCATCGACCTTACTTAGCCACTTTCTGCAGGAGCTTCAGACAGAGCAAAAAGGAACACATATTTCATAAACTGCTGTGTAACTATTTGTGGTGGTTTGAAAGCTGAAAAACACACCTTGAAAACCTTCTCAGATTTGACAACTAAAGAGAACTGACCCTTTTCCAAAACCAAAAGACTACATGCTTAAATCACAAACTTTCCTGTGAAGAAAAAGATGTTATTTATATGTCCTTAAGCCAGAAAGTCCTTAAGACATGTAAAAAAGAGCTTCAAGCGATGACCACAGACAACTTATCCTAGGATCTCTCTTTTTACAGACAGGGCATTTTTGTTATTTATATTTTATGACTTCTCTTGCATGGAAGGATTGATAGAACTTTTATCACTAATTTTTCACATTCAGATTATCCATGCACTTCTCTGGCTGAAAAACTTGTTTCCTTTTGCTAAGTACAGGAGTTTACATACATTACTAACATCTTATATAATAAAATCATAGCTTTAACATAGGCTGATTCAGTCAGTACATCCAGATAAAAGCATAAGCTCTTCTCACTGAACTAGAGCTTGTAATTGCTCCTGTAAATCAAAGCACTAGAGGATGTCATTAAATGCAAAGTTGCATTCTCTAAAATGGAAGTTCATTATATATCCAGATAAACTGGATGTATAAACTGGATGTTTAAATGCAGCCATAAAAGAAAGTTATGCTGGAAAAAAAACTGCATTTTTGCTCAAGAAATTAATGATCAGAAAGTTCACATGTATTGATGATTTCGAAAAAGTCAATGTCATTTTATACATTTTTTTCAGTACTGTCACATAAGAAGAAAGACTCATAAACACAAATCTGAATTTAGACTTTGACAGAAGTAAGTTTTAAGACTGTCACAGGTTTTTCAGTCTAATATCCATGGCTCCTGGGGATTCAGACCAACAAATAAAATATGTCTTGGTATTCCTTTTGGTTCCATTTCTTAGTACAGCAAAGCTAGTGAAGCATCCAGCTGTCAAAAAGTACAATTTTCTTCCTTCTCCCATAGTGGGCTGGCACTGGCACTCCCAATCAACACAGTTCACCAACGCGACACAAAGCTAACCTTCTGTTAAATAAATAAATGCATGTTTTTCTGCCACTGCAGCAAGCTCTCAAGCAGGGTCAAACAAACACCACTGTTCCTGTGGGGGAGGATGGTGGATGAATATGGCCAAGCAGTGTGCTTCCACTGTGTAATTAGATTACTTGAGTACAAAGCTCTGGATTCACTCTCTTTTAAAAGTGCTGAACTGGCCCTGAATGTGACTTGCAAGAAACTGCAATACATCTTTCTTAAATTGCTATGAGTTGAACTTTAGTTAGTTAAAATAAACTTGAAATTCTGTCAAAGATCTGCACTATAAGAGGAAAAACAGTAAAACATTAACATGATCTTAAGAGCAAGCAACTAGTTAAAAGAGGGTGTTTCGTCCACCATTTCTCAATTTCACTAACACTTCAAAAAGTAACATTTTAGTCTAAAAATGTATAATTTCTGCCATGCTTGTAAAAGAACATTACCCTCCTCAAAATGGAAAAAGAAAAAGCCTTTTTTTAAGATTTCAACTTCTTTCTAGGAGGAAACATAGTTAGGTCTCCTTGCAGCGAGCACACAAAGAAAAAAAACCACATAATAGCTATTGCACCAAAGTAAAGCATTCATTAAAAGGGAAGGAAAGGTAACAATGGCCAAAATCTCAGCAAGATAAAGCCAAACTATTTAGCATGAGTTACAGAAGACAGAGGTCCTTCAAACAAGCAGAAGGCAGCAGTAAGTGGAAGCATTCAGCTAAGAATGTTTTTCTGTGTGAAGCTCAGTTTGCACATGTGATGTGTTGCCATTCCCTCCTAATTAGAAGTGGTATTGAGCCACTCTCCGGAAGACTCGAGCTAAGCTTATGCTACTAAAAGGACATTTTTTTGTTTGAATCACAGCTACCACAAATCCACAGAAGAATACAGTCTAGCCTGAACAGATCCTCGTCTTCAGCTTCCTTAAATGCATTTTGATTAGGCTGAAGAGCATATGTTTGCCTTCTTATTCAGTAGATCAAGATCTCAACATTAGTGAGGCTTTAGTTTCACACAGAATTTCAAAGGCTACAAACCTTTGAAGTGAAGCTATCATTAGCCATCAGACATATTACATACCAATAAATACAAACATGTCACTTAAGACTATCACAGGGTATTGCGAGACTTTATCTAAGAAGTGCTTGAAACCACCAAATTCTTAATTTTCTGGCAGGTTCTGTAACACTCTACTTGGTGGGCTGACTCCAACCAGCAGCTGAGGCAAGAAAACAGAGATGAAGAGAAGACTCACAGAGTGAGACACAGACAGTTTGATAGGTGAAGCAGAAGTTGTGGGCACACAGCAATGCAAAGTAGGAATTAATTTACCACTTCCCATCATCTGGGCAGGTGTATAGTCACTTCCCAAAAAAGCAGGGCCTCAGCAAGTGTACAGGTTACTCAGGAAGACAAATGCCAGAACCACGAATATTGTCCCCTTTCTCCTTCTCATCCCAAGGTTTTACTGCTGAAAATGATGTTAGATGGCGTGGAGTGTCCCTCTAGACAGTCCTGAGATCAGCCGGGGTCAGCTGTCCTGGCTGTGTGTCCTGCCATATCTGCCATGGGAAAAGGAGTGCAGAGGAAGCAAAAAGAACCAGCCTCGACTAGCACCACTCAGCAATAGCTGAAAGACTAAAACACTCTTTTAGTACCAGGCTCAGAATATAGCAGATTAGAGGCTACTACTAAAAAAATTAATTCCAGCCCAGCCAGTTCACCTACTATAAAAGTTATTGATAGAAAATAAACAGATACTAAGTTTGCAGAGCACCAACTACTCTGTCTCCCATCCACTGGAAAAAAAAGACCCTAAGATAGTAGTTGTCAAAATAATATAAATTTGGCATCTTAAAAATGTTTTAAATAAAAATCAAGTTAAATGCTGTGCATAAAGGAACCTTTGGAGAGAAAAACATGAAAAGCAAAAAAATTCATTTTTCTAATAAGAATTACAGGAATTCTCTTTTTGACTGATACAAAATTTTGGAAACTCAACCACTGATGCAATCAAGAACAAACCCCAAAATTCAGTAAAATCATATTACCACTTAATATGTAGCTTTTAAATTGGTTTTCAGTCCCAGAGCCAAATTTTGTGAAGACTTTCATTGAATACAATGTGGTTACTTTAGATTGGTGGAATTTAGCATTATAAAAGAGTATTTTAATTTAAATTTTTATAAACCGATATTCCATGGAAAGAGACATTTATCAGAATGCATGAAAAAAATGCTGCAATAGCACGTTTCTTTAAGAGTAAAACACGTGCTTTCTTGTTTTTGGTTTTTTTTTTTTTTTTTTTTGTTGTTTTTTTTTTTTTTTTTTTTTTTTATGTGGACAGATTGCAATCCATCAAGCCAGCAATGTCCTCTTTAACTAGAGATGCACAAGCACTTTGAAACCAAAAACTTCAGTGCTGTAGCCTACCTCAGTTTAGTCACTTCTCCAAAGAGGCCAAAAGAGGGAGTAGGAGCTCTGCTGCCGGGAGGCTGCCAATTAACAAGCATTGCACCCACCCAGGATTATAAACCAGAGAGCATTTTACTGGAAGTAGACATTACCAGAGTGTAGGTGTTTCCTTATTCACATTTAGTCATTCAATATCCAACCTGCTGCTATCAGCATCATTTACGTTTTTGCACTTTCTACTGTCCAACAGAAAATGCAAAAATGAAATACAAATGACGCTGAAGTTTTACCGGTCAAGTGACCAGATAAGAGCAGAGCTATTACCAAAAGCATAGGAAGAACAAGAGTTACTAGAGTATGATACAAAAATACAGGATTGAAGGGCAGCTTGTTCTTCTAGTGAAAAGCAGATTTACTACTCGGAAAGCACAGAGTGCACTGTCAAAAGTGCCCTCCCCAAAACTCGTCTCAGTTTTATGAGGGGATGACAGCTAGAAAGAGAAGGAGCACATCTCTGCTGAACTGTCAGCCTCCACATCAGCACACTGGTATTTTTACTGCCCTCCCTAGGAGGCTCCAGACAATGGCAATATTCTAAAGACTGACCAGGTAGAATCCCCAGAGAATTAAAGCATACTATCAAAGACAACAAACAGAAATGCCTGTTCTAATTTCTCTTCTTGCAAACTTCCCTCTTCTTTTGGAGTTAAGTCCCAAAGACTGGGATAAAAGTCACAAAGTGAGCAACTCCTAGAAACAAAGCATGTACACTGTGCAAAGATTTCCTAACAGTAAGGCACAGGAACCTTCTAATCACTAAAGAACTTTGTAGGAATACTTATGTAATCCAAACTTCTATTTTTCAAGAATCAATCCTGGAATGCAATACAAGAAAAAAGAAATCTATCAGAACTAGTTCATGTAGTGGATCTGATGGTTTCTAAATCTCTAGAGTAAGAAAAAGGATTTTTTTATTACCATAAAATAAAGCATCAGCACTCCTGACTTCCATATGCTTATTTCATAAAACTGATTTTAGACACCTAATTTGTTGTATTTAGAGACTCTATCTGTTGTATATAATTAGAATAAATAATAGAAGGCAACACAGAATTTTCTGCCTACATGTATGCAAAGTGCATGGATGGATGTATTCATGATTTTACAGACAGACAACTGGAATTGCCTTTTCTCTAGAGACCACCAGCCTGGAGCTATGCCCACACCAGCATTTAACATAGCAGAACCTTCTGTCATAGAGCAGCAGTGCCTCACCCACGTCTCCCTCCTTCCTTCCCGCCCCTTTGCAGTGCAACCAGCTATTCACCTGGGCTGCCATACAAAAACTGCCAACACCAACTAGCCCACAGGAACAGCACCTCCCTAACTTCTGTCAAACCAACTAGGAAAGGGACATGTCCTGCAAGTTCCCTTGCCAGCTTTTCTGCTATGCACCCTGCAATCTGACGAGAGCTGGGATTCACCAGCAGCATTATTCCTTCTCACAACCTAGGTAAATTCAACCTCCACAGATCTAAAGAACATCAAGCAGGGACTCTGTTTATCCTTTTTGCTTCTTACTCTTAGACCTCCAAATCTCCAAAAGCTGTTGCAAAAAACTACCCCTGTGACCACAGGTCCTGGCATTGAAATGGAAGTCAATATAATCACTATTACACTTGTAATACTTTTACAACGTAAACGTTTCTTTCAGAACCAGGTGAAACATTCCTCTGAAATGCCTACAGGTGCAAATTTATTATACTATTTTATACTGGCTGATCTTCAAATTAATTTCTGCTTTTTCTAGCTTTATTACTTGTGAGGAATCTATATCCAAGATCTGCTCAACATCACCACCTGAAATTATCAGGACTATACTTTAGGAAGTTCAACCTTGTATTTTATAAAAACAAGAGTCATCCACTATCCCCCAAGTAAAAAGCAAAAGTAAAAATGTTAATATCAATAAAAAAACTAAAAACTCACTCACTGTCTTCTGTGGGAAGGACCTGCAGGGAATAAATCCATTCTATTATATCATCTTTGTTCACCACATCTAAGGAATCCAACATATCCAGACCAGAGAGTGCGAAAAATGCAATTGTCAACCTAAAAGAAAAAGATAAGACTTACACTTCCCACCATAAATATCATGGGGAAATTAACAAACGGTTGAAGCAACAGACACATCTATGAATTCTCAGCCTTTGACAGTGGTGCAACACAGAGCCTAGCTTAGAATACATGAAAGCCATCTACTGGACAAAACAATGTTCTCTATACTGAAAACATTTCTCTGCCTCATCAAGGTTTTTATATAAGCTGCCCCTCCTTTTATATAATAATGATATTTCAATTAAAAATTTACATGAGAGCCTGTTTACCCAAAAGAAAACCCCAACAAAACCCACTATAAAGTAAACTAGGTTATGACATTAACATATGGAGCACTAGTTCTCTGTGAAGAATTCTTACTGAACAATCCCATAAACATGCATTAGGTGCATATGCAAGGTAACCCTTAACTATAGTAAGCTGCCTCTTACTGTGTCTCAAACCCGATTTCAGATTCTCAGATGTCAATGTCAAACAGCAAAGCCTACTTTGTAAGCAAATAATGCGTAAATAGGCATACAGAATAAATTAACAACTACAGGTACTTATTTCTGGTCCTTGGGTGTAAAGCAGCCTAGATGACTACCTTACTTAAACATCTAAAATTAAGCATGCCACATTCAAGTATCCAACAGAGCAGTGGAGCAGCTAGCATGATGAGTGTCCTTCTTTTCTACAACTTGTTTCCTTCCATGAATGTGTGCTATCATACCTGGTAACTAACACCTTCTTTACTGGGTTTGTTTTAAGCCATTGCAGCCACCCATTGCGTGGCCCTCCAACAGTGCATTACTCACTCTGACAGAGAACCAAGGCAACAGCACCGGGTTAGAAACTCGGGAGAACCTACTATGAGAGAAAATGCTCATGTAATGGTACCTTGGATGTTCTGACTCAGACTAAAATTAGCTGGATGTTTACTTTGCCACCCACACTTGTCTGCTGATCCTTCTAGAAATTCTCGCTCTCCATACACCAGATAAGATGATGGATTGTGAAACAACTGCTACACATGCAGAAACTAAAATTCAGTATGCCGAGGAAAGCCAACAGTTAATACCAACTTTCCTTACAAGATTAAGCTGTAATTCGTATTTACCTCACAAACGGGTGAGTCACCTTGGCCAGAGGTTGGTACCTCCGAAGAGACACATGTGGACAGGAGCCTCCACAGACACTTAATTTCTGCATGAGGTTCTGCATCAGAACCACAAACAGTACGACCATGTGAGTCAGCCCAAAGCACACATCCAAAAGAATTATTCTAATTAAAACATAGCAGCCAAATGACAACACAGCAGATGTTAATCTTAATACAGTGGCACAACTTCCTACGTTGACATTCCTTCCAGCAGGCTGGTAATATATGCATATTTACTGTCATTATTTCAAGTAATTTTTTTGAGTAGAGAAAGAAAAAAAAAGTATGTTGTGCACAAAAATATTTCTATGTAGAACAAAAGTGTATTTTAACCCTTCTGATGATTAAGAAATTGTCTTCCAAAGCTCAAAATTTACACTTCAAGGCTTATATCAACTTTTGCAATTGATCAGATCTCAGTTTAACCCAGAATTTGACCCTGGATAACAAATAACCAATTTTAAAAAAATCACTATTTTATTTAAAAAAAAAAAACCAAAGGAATTTACTGTTCAGCTACAATAAACTATTTATTTGAAACACTGCCTCTATGTTCAGATTTTCATGAATACTGACAATCTTTTATTAGAACTATTAAAAAGACATTTTCACTCCATCTTATCCAGCTAAGTTACTTCCAGTGAGGCACAAATATGCCAACATCAGCACTAGAAAACTGCTGCAAAGTCCAAAACCAAAAGGCTATACAAACAACAGACAGCAAATCTCACAGAGAGTTAAAAATGCATATTTTATACATTTTATACATATATTTTATATATGTCAAATATATGAACTTAAAAAGTGGTTTTAAATACAGTAAGGGTTCAGTTCACTTTTCAGAGTTGACTGTTTGTCTCCAGCATTACTAAAGAACAGCCTTTAATGTGATGCAATTTATTTACAGTGGGCAAGAGTGTCTGGCACCACTGGTCATACACAGGTTGCAATACAGCTGTTTAGGTACTGCATCTTTACCCCGTATGCCGTCCTCCCTCACAGAAATTTACAGACATATACGCTAGCAAAAGCAACTCTTAGCAGCACCTCAGGTGACAGACACATGCCAAGAAGAGTAAAAATTTTATCTACAGCCATTTCCACAGAGGATGGCCACCAGGACATTCTGAATGGCAGATTCAGACCTCTCTGGCTTCCAGAGAAGACAAAGGCTACAGTTTTACAGAAGAATTCAAAAAGCATTGGAAGTGACAAATTTGAGAAACTGATTAAGTGTGCTACTAAGAGCACCATGAAGTACCAGAACCTAAAAGACTTCAGAGATCAGAAAATTGCATTCTCCTGCAAAACCTCACAGTACTAACAAGTAGTGTGCATGAAACACTACCAATCAGAATGCTTCAAAACCACTCTTGCTGCAACTACTGTTGCATGCAAATAACTACTGATAAAAATAATTAAGGCTTTCAGGCAAGAAGTTGAGTAGAGAACACGAAATTAATTTCCTTTATTCTCCATTACTGTCTTACAATCTACAGCTTCACTTGGAATGCACCATCACAATGAGGAAAATTACCATCCTTGTCTGGTGACAACAAACACAGTTTTCTACTGCAGTGCAGTGAAAAAAAAATCTGACAAACCACTTTATTTATTTATTTATTTAACAAATGTCTCTTTAATTTAGTTGAGTTTTCCCATCTAACTCAAAACAGAACCACTCCAATTCAGGAATAGGGGAAATTCAAATAAAAAGGTAACAGCATTTCTTTCTGCAGCTGAATCAGCTCCAGAGGTTTGCTAAAGGTTTGCTGAACTCAGTGATCTTGAATTTGGCAAAAAGGGAAACTTAACACCCTTGAAATCAAACTGGAGATCATGCATTTATAAACTCCCACTCAGAATTTGTCAACAGACAGGCGTGCACCTCTGCAGAACATGGCTACATTGTCAAAGGCCTCTGGAGATCACTGGTCCCACCTTTTAAAGAACAAAGGGCCTCAGAGGAGATGATCCAGAACCGTGAGAAGCCACATCCTCAAAGGTGACTTCACCTCTTCAATGGGCAAGCTTTTTATGGTTAACTCTGCTAACAGCGAAGAACATTTTCCCTACAGCCACAGAATTCCCCCCTAAGTACCCCATTCCCACAGCCTCCTGCCTCATCACCACGATCCCTTGCAAACAGTACACCTCCATCTTTCTTTGTAAGTAGTTTCCCACCCATGGAAGAATGTGATTAGATCCTTCCTTCTCTGAAGGAAGAAGGCTGAAGACATCCCATTTCTTTAGCTCTTTTCAAAAGGTTAGCTACATGTATTATCACTCTAATACATCTGCACGCTCAGATCGCTTTAAGGCCTATGCATAGACAGGCACAGGATGCCTAGATTTCCCCTTGCTGTCACCTAAAACAAATGAGAAAGTAAACTGAAACATCAGCTAATTTTTAATGAATAAATGATCTACAGCTCTGCAATCAAAATTTCACAAAATTACAGAACAGCCAGGAAAAGATCTCTGGAGATCATCTCATATAATGCCCTTCTCCTAATGCAGGTTTACCCAGAGCAGTTTCTACAGGATTGTATCCAGGCAGGTTTTTAATATCTCCAGGGAAGGAAACTCCACAACCTCTCTGAGCAGACTGTTTCAGTGATCAGCCCAGTGTGAGGAGGCTTTTTCTCATACTGAGATGGACCTTCCTGTCTTTCTGTCTGCTGCCCTTTGCCCTGTCACAGGGACCACTTAAAGAGTTTGGCCCCATCCTCTCACCCTTTAACAAACTTTAATGCACTGCTAAGACCCTCTCTCAGTCATCTCTTCTTGAGGCTGAACAGGCCCAGCTCACCCAACATGAGTGAGCTCACAGGACAGATGCTCCAGTCCCTTAACCATCTTCTGAGCCCTCTGCTGGCCCCTCTCCAGTAGTTCCATTTCTAACTTTTCAATATAAAGTTGTCTTATTTCACACACAGCTCAGCACTATCTGTTCCAGTCCTGACATGTTTATGCCATGTGTTTGTGCTCTCAACCAAGATAAAGCAGGATGACCTGATCAAAGCCATGGAGCATTCCAAACAGGATGACTTGCCAGACATTTTAAAGTGGAAAAAATCTTACTATTTTATTGGCTGAAGAATATTATCAAACCATTTACTTGTCTTCAATATCTTATCAAGGGCAGCTGGATAATCACATCACTGGTATTATGCTTTCAAAGTAAGAATATCAAATAAGTACATTCTGAAGCCATTACAGGAAGAATGCAGCTCCAATTCAAAGTGAGGGCCATATTTCACTAGTATTTTCTCTTTTATACTAGGTAATTAAGACTTTAAAATATTTGCAACATGAAGAGGAGTCTTCTGTCTGCCGAAGTAAAGCTTAGGTGACTTATTTTAAAATGGCTTCCAGGGCGGATTAAGAGAGGGAAGCCTTGGATTTAACCAGATAAGAAGGATCAACAGGTCTTCCCTCGTGGATGTCAAGCAGTTTACGCGAGCAGTGACTGCACCCCTACACTAACACGTAATTTTTTGGGAGCCGTCTGCTGGTGGGCAGATTTATAGGGACGTTTTTCCTTCCGGCCGCGGGGCGCTGCTCCCGGCCGCGGGAGAGGGCAGCGCTCCGGGAAGGGCTTCCCGTCACCGCGACCGGGAAGGGAGCGCGGCCGGGGCCGGGACGGGCGGGGGGCGCCGGGCGGACACGGCGGCGCCCGTCCCGCCTCCCGCCGCGCTGCTACCTGCTGGTCTCCAGGGACGAGTAGCGCTCGGGCAGGATCTGGAGGCACCGCTGGAAGAAGCGCACGTGCCGCTCCCGCAGGAAGTCCAGCCGCTCCGGCTCCCCCGGGCACGGCGCCGCCGCCGCCGCCATCTCCATCTCGCCGCTGCTGCCCGCGCCCGGCGCGCCCGGATCGCGTCACCCGGGGCGGGGAAACGGAAGGGGGAAGCAGCGGGAAGGGGAAGGGAAAGGGGAAGGGGCGCCTCAGTGCACTGCGGCGGGGGCCAGGGTGGTGATCCCACGCTTAAGGGGCCGCCACAACGGGGGAAACGCGCTTTTAATGCCAAGGGACATGGCAGCCGGCCGGTCTGGGAGCCGGCGTGTCAAAGCGCAGACGCGCGAGCACAGAGGTAATACACGCCGTGGGCAGGCCGGCTCCGCGCCGGGAAGCGCTGCTGCGTGCTGCGGCAGGGACAGGCTGGTGCGCAGCTATGACCCTCCTCTCCAGGCTGGGACAGCTCTGACAAGAGAACAAAAAGGCTTAAAGTGTAAAAGTGCGCTTGTGTCATGCTGCACACCCATCGGTCCGCTCCTCACCTCCGAGAAACGCGCACCGGCCGTTCTGCAGCTGCTGGTGCCATCTCTTGCCTGCGTTCCTCCCAGCCCTTGGAAGGTCTGTTCAACCTAGATCGCTCTCTGGTGACCCGAACCTCGACCTCAGAGTGAAACAAACAACCAAAAATCATTAGCCTTTTTGGTTCATCACAAAAGGAGTTCCATCAGGCCCACCGGATCTCCACCGTAAAAGACAGAGACACTGCTTGCTGTCATTAAATGTTAATAATTTAGTAATTTAAAAGGTTAAACTCTTGTTAAACCCAGTGTATGCAAAATGCTTCTGGGAGACAGCCTACTTATTTAATTAATGGTAGAAAACTATTTGAAAAAATGAAAGCCACCACCCATATTGGAGCCCGCTTTTATAGGCCTTACCTAGTGAAATACCACTGTGAAAGACATGAATTCTAGGGGGTTTTGCCATTTTTTTTAAAACAGGAACAACTATGCCTGCTCCAATTCTGTCTACTGATAACAGGCATGACTTTTTGTTTTATCAACCATTTAGAATATTTAAAACAATTGCTTTTTAGATCAATGAAAAGGAAGTCTGCTTAAACCACCAAGCTGCACACATCTCTGGTTAAAACAAACAAAAAGTTACCTTCTCTCTTAACTTTGCCAATCTTTTTTCTTTTTCCTGTTTCTCTGTCTCTTTAGCATGTTTCTGCAGAACCCTTAGCTCCAGTTTATGTAGCTCCTGAAACATAATGAGTGGAAAAGCAAATTTTTCTTTGGAAGTAAAACAAATTATGTAAAAATATACATGCAGCATTTTCACAGCTTTTTTTTTTTGTTCTGTTTATTTTTGGTTGTTTTTTGCTTGTTTTTGTTTTGAAATTACTGCAATAGTAAAGAATAAGGTTTCACTAAGCAGCTACATGCTATAGCTTGTCCTGCGAAAAGAAATTACAGTTACATGGCTTGGAAATAAAAAAATAGTTTTTTGGAAACTACAGCAGTATTTGGAACAGAGTAGTTCCAACTCTGTTTATAAAAGTTTACTATGAATGCTGACAATAATATCAATTCTCCATTAACTGCATTTACATTGATATAGGATCTGACTTCACCTAACAGGTACTGAAACCTGCAGGATGTTCAAACAACTTTTTCTACCTCCCATCTGAATACAGCACTCAGATCCTCTGAAGTCTTCTTAAGAAGCATAGCCCAAGTACTTTTTCTCAAAAAAAAAATTACTGAAGAAATAAAACCACTTCTATATGGATAAAGAAATATGAGCTTGAGTAATCCTGTAGAATTTAGGTATTGAAGAAAATTGATGAAAAGGAGCATCTTTGTGTATCTTACTGTTTATCTGCAGTAGATGCTGTTATTTGTAATGAATTAATAGTGGATTTAGATGAATGATACTTGGATTTTAAAGCTTGTTTAATTGATTATACTGTAGTAGGATGTATCAAATTTAAGACAATGGCATGCAAAAATGGAGGTGAAATTACGCACATGCTGTTGAAACTTAGACATTTCTTCTGCAGCAGTTTTCTTCCTTCCCTCCTTTTCAGCTTCCTCTTTCTTCTGATTTTCAAGCTTTTCAAGTTCCTCCTTCACTTTTTTTTGCAAGGTATTCCTTTCCAATAATAACTTCACGTGGCTTTGGCGCTCTTTTTGTTGCTTTTTCTCTTTCTCTTCTAGTTTTAGTTGTGATGCTTGATCTATTGCAAATGCTACTACTTTCTGTTTCTTCCAGACTTCAACTGCAGCTTTTCTTTTTCTTTCTTCTTCTACTTTTTGCTTTTGAGCTTCTTCAAGCTGTAGCATTTTTTCTGATTTCTCTTTCTCCTTCAAGTTTCTTTCTTTTTCTTGCTGCTGCTTTTCTTTCCACTTTTTAATTGACTGCAAGAGACCACGGGAAAAAATCCAAGGATTTCATAAAAATTTTACATGCAAATTAAAATATTCACATTGATTCGGTCTGATGAAGATATTTGTTCCAAGAACACAAAATGCACATACGAATTAAAAGTCTACTGAAGGCAAAACCTAAAACCAAGAAGCATCTGTATGTGTTTTCTCTCTTTTTCCTATTTTATGGATCACACAAGCAGGTTTACCAGATGTCTGCTAAAACTGTTTCAGTTACAGCAATAATAATAACTTGTTATGAATGTTGATGCAATATACTTTTTTAATGCAAACATATTTCAGTTCTTGTTTTCTTTCCAATTAACCCACTGTTTTATAGTACTTATGTCAGTACATCTTTTATTACTTAGATAGTTCTTGAGGGAATCATAATTCTGCATGTCTGTCTTAGGTGTATTGCTTATACAGTGGGATACACGTTCTTAGAGACAAACGTAACAGGGGGACTGGATCACTAACTGCTCTGGGCTTGGCACCTAACTTGCTAAATCACTGACTTCAAAAGCATTTGTAATATACTTTGGCAATACACAGGGCCACTTCTCTGTGTTGTTAGGTCTTTGCCTATTTGTAATTATTAACGACAAATACTTTGGCAGGTTGGGGATGCTAAAGACCTCAGTTATATACTGTCAGCTGTAAGACAAATCTGCCTAGCACTACAACCAGAGAGGTAGACACAAAAACAAGATGGTATGCATTTCAAAAATAAGTACATTTTCTGAAATCTTCAAAAGCCTTAGAGGCATTATTTTACCTCTTTCTTTCTTTCATGTAAAATTACATATTCTTGATACCATTTGTCATGCTGTTCTATATCTTCTTTTGTTCTTCCGCTGAGATACTCAAGGGCTTCATCCATGTAAGATAGCCTTCCTCTGTATTTTGTCCGTATTTTCAGAAAATTTTGATGATCATAATCATCCCAGCCTCCCTGCCGCCCTCCTGTTCGCTGAAGAAATTTTTCAAACTCTATTACTTCTTTGGGTAGGTGAGTTTCCAGTGTTTTATCAACTGTGACCCTGGCTGAAGGTAGCTTCCAAACTTTTTCTGCTGTTGAGCTCCCTAATGCCCACAGTTCCACTCTTCTCTCAAAGAGACTGAGCTCATTACTGATAGCTTTTTCCTCTTTCAAAAGCTGTTGATATCTGAAAAGAGACAAACACTGAAATGTAAGGAAAAAAAATCCAGTATTGATTCTCCAAAATTCTCTCATTCTCAAATCTCTCTCATTCATCAAAAATGAATTTCGGAATTGTTCAATGCCACACAAGAGCTATTCTTCAAAGATTAAGAACTGAAGTGGTAACAGCACAGTTGTAATGATTGGTGATAAAGCCCTATACAATGAGAATTAAGTTACCCTTTTACTGAAAGAACACATTTATGGCATGCATACAATTAACTCAATCCCCTCCTGACACGAGTAGAAAGAAAAAGAAAACCCCCCAAACCCGATTAGAAAACACAACAGCAACAAAAAACCCCGGCCACAATCTAATCTCTTCTACAGCCTCTCTAAAAAGCCTATTCATAGGCAAATTTTGTTACATTGGAATGCTGCAATAGTTGTATAAACACCCTGTCTAAAAGTCAGTTTATCAAGATTCTAATGCTGACAACTTGTGCTACCACAGGAATCACTACCAAGACAGTAAATCATAAGAACAGAGTAAATAATTAAAACAGTTTGTTTAAATCGAAACATTTAGATTAATGCAGTTTTCATTGTGTCTTACAGCAGCCCTTTTTCTAGTAGCTGAAGCATGTATAAACATACATTTGCCTTTGTTCCTCTTTAAAAGCATTGATTGCATTTTCTATTTCTTCCATCATTTCCTTGATCTTGTCAACAACTATAAAAGGAAAAGAAAAAAAAAAGCGTATAACTTAAGAAGTCTATGTTATTTATCAGCACTATCCAGAAATGCAGGACTTGTGGAGACTTTCAGGATACATATCTCAGTGTACAAAAACCTGTGCATTTCCGTCTCAAACAGCCTTAAAATTCTTATTTATTCAAAAGATGTGGTTATGAAAGGACTTAGCTAACTGGATGCAAATGCCAATATAAATGTTTATTTTCCTTAAAGAAGTCTCACCTTGACTAACCTTCAACTGACATCCAAAATAAGACAAGACTTATCCTAGAGTTCCACTTTTGTTTCTTACAGCAATGCAGTTAATAACTTAAGCACACTTAAGTTTACACCACACTACAGCAATTCTATTTAACCTGCAGGCAACTACTATTACAAAGCTGACAAAGTAATATCAGAGTAAGACTTTGTGCTCTACTGTCAGCATGCTGTAGTCCTGACTTAAGATGGTAATACAGCTGTCCAGAGAAGATATATTTTGCAGTGGAAGAAAACCCACCTGTTAGATTAGATTATATGATTAGATTAAAATCTCTGTTAAATCAGCCCAACATCTCTATGGACACACTGAATGCAGTTCAACTAACTGTATTTTGGTAAAGTTATACAAACTAAAATTAATTTTTCAGCTTTCATGCCTTATTAGTTCTTAGTATCTTAACTGACAGTTTAATCATTTTTTAATAGATAAAACACTGAATAAATGAAATGCGACGCATTTTATCTAGCATCAGAAAGCCCTCAGAAAGTAGGAGACCCTCAACCTGAGCTCCACAAAAGGTAGTAGGTACCACATGAGGA